AACTGTAATTTCATAATTAAAGTTATTTTCTTTTTGGTAGAACAGGATTTATTTATAATTAAAAGTCTCACATTATCAGGAATAATGACGTTAAAACTCTTCTAATCATCAAGGAAAAGGACGTTGCATTGAATGACGATACATTAAAACTATATCATATTAGCAAACGTTGTGACAACTTTATAATGCATATCAAAGTTTTCGCTATCTTACAAAATAATTAAACAGCAAGAAAATGGTATTTTCTCCCACGCAACAATCGAACAAGCAAAGAGACACAAAAAATAAAATAAAATAAAATAAAAAAGAAAAGTAAACGTCGACGGTGCCTCCAATCATTCAACATAACCAAATGAAGCGATATTCGGTGCTTAGTGAGTGTTGTTAGAGAATCTCTATTAGTGCTCTTGTGGAAGTAATTTGCTAGAATAGTGTTTTAAAATACTTCTTTTCTATAATCTGCTAAGTGAAAATTCCTCATGTCTTTACCCGTGAACGTAGATCAAAAGCTAAACCACCTAAATTTTTCTATCATTTTCCCTTATTTTATTTCCTATTTTAACTTAGAAATCCATTTGAAGGAATTCCTAACACAATGCGTAGTGGGGAAGAAACTATGCTATGTATGCCCTGTGCCATGGATTTGGCAAGTGGATTGAAAAATGCCGGACCAGTAACTAGTGAATACCACATCACCCTCTTGCATTAAGCTCTATTGGTTTAGTTTCAAAATTAGGGTTAATCTCTCTTCTCTCTCTCTCTCTCTTATGTCTCATTCTGCCGCTCCTCTTCCTCTTCTTTTTCTCCGTGCAGTCGCTTGCCGCCATCTCACCTCGCCGGAGATCTCCACCAATGAGAGATTTGTAGTCCTCGCGGCTGCAAGAAAGGAACGACGGATACACATATCTGCCTTCACCGTGATTCTTTGCCAGGCATCGCAGGAGTCGAGGAAGCAAAGGAAGTGGATGATCTCGATCTTGACATCCGGCATTGCAGCGCCCCAAGAGATCCCCTCGTTGCGATTATAAAAATCCGGAGATCTCTGCGCGAGGGGAGATTTCACCGGAGATCTCCCTGTTGCGTGGTGGCTGCATGGAGGAAATCGACGGTCGGAACTTTCCTCCTCTTTTTTTCTTTTTTTTCTCTTTTTTCCTAATTGTGGTTTTGGAATTTTGTTGTAATCATTTTCCATATTGTTAATGTTGTGGTTGTGGACCTTTTTAGTGGATTTTTGTGTTTTTTTCCTTGTACATATTAGGTACTCCAGTGACTTCCGCGATGGAGACGGTTGTTGCTGCCGATCATGGCGGTTACTGACATAGTTATTATCAGTTACCGGCTGAGATACCATTAGTTACTGGATGAGATATTGTTGGATTGAAAGTTTACAAATTGTTTTTGTAATTTTTCATGTACTTTCAGTGATTTTGCGGAATTTTGTTATTTTTTGGTGTTTTTTAGTATTGGTTACCGAAAGATAGGGTTGGCAATTCGGGTAGAGACACGGCGACATGACTCGAAATCCTAATAAAATTAACAGATTTGGATTTACTATAAATTGATTTAGGTCATAATTGGATTGACACGATTAATAAATGGGCTAGGTTAGAATTAACCTCCTAACACGAAGTGACACGATTAACTATATGTGTCATCTGTAATCTAATGATATGTGATATAACATGAAAGTTTATATGACATATTAAATACAAATAATGTGAATTTTAATATTTGTAGGTAAAATTCATTTATTTTTCTTAAAGGAAAAGATAAATTGACCAATAAACATATTAAATCTGTTTTGACCGTTTTAAATAAGTTATTATTATATTAGTTAGTTATTTAATATATTAATTTAAATGAGTTATACAGGTTGACACAATTAACACGAGTAATAAATAGATTGTGTTTGAGTTGATATTTTTGACACGTTTAATAAACAGGTGATCATGTTTGGGTTAATATTTTCTGACACGATTAATAAACGGGTTGACACGAACACGATCCATTAACACAAATTGCCACCCTTACCGAAAGATACTGATAGGTAACCTTCTAGTATCCAAGTGAATATTGCTCAGCATCCGTGCAGATACCGATCATCATGGTAGATGATAAGGCCCAGGTACCGGTGCTGCCGCCAACAAATACTGGTCAGTAACCATCCAAAATCCGATTGGATACTGGTATCTTGGTCAGATAATGACCGGCATCTTAAAGGTATATTTAGGCCCCATTCATTTTATCGATTCAAGTTTTGCTACAGTATAAAGTTTTCAGAAACAGTCACATCTAATTTTTTTGTTACAGTAAAAAGTTTTCACATAAAGTCACATCTCAACTCAAATTAAAAATTTAAATCAACGACCTAAACAAACCCTTAGTATTCTAAATATAGTGTGATGATATAACTGTGCTATTCTCTCCTATATCAATCCAAATCTAAAACGTGTGTGTGCACCATTTAAGTGAAGAGTCGGCTGGCTTAATTCCCTTAGTATCCGTACTCAGCACAACAATCGTATTCCCCAGAAGTTTTGTTCTTTAACGAAGGTACTCGATGCCGTGTGTTCGCAATCGCCGACCAGCAGCTCCCTACAGTTTTACGGGGCACGACATTTCATCGAACAATTGGAGGGAGCTGAGAGTGCCCGTGGCGAAGAAGCTGGAATCGGCGGTGCTGCAGCTCAAAGGGAGGTTGGCCATCGGCGGCGCCGCATGCGTGTGTGTTGTAAACTTGTGATGGAGCTATTTACTTTTTTTTTTTTTCCTCTTGAGTGGTGGAGCTATTTACTTGTACAGAGATGTTGGCATCCAACTTGGCGGGGAGGGAACAGTCATCACATCCGGGTGGTGGCTGCAGGTCGTGAGATTTTGGGGGAGGGGATATGTTTTTTTTTTTTTTTTTTTTGTTGGAAATAGATTTTTCTTTTCTAATTTTTGGATTTTTAATTTTTTTCTTTCATCTCTAAGGGTGTTTTAGTCATTTTCATGGTCAAAATTACATTTTAACCAAAAAATGTATAAATTTGTGTACTAAATATAATCTAATAGTATATGAGATTAAAAATAAAATATATACTTTTTTAATATACATAGGTATAAAAAGGTAAATAACCTAAGAGAAAATTACATAATTCAATCTGTCTAAATTTAAATCTTTATTTTTAATTTTTATTTAATATTCTTTTATTAGTATATTTGATTAAAAAGGTTATTAAAGAGTAAAAAAATTTTAATTTTAATTTATATATTTTTAAAGAGTATTTATCTCTCCACCCGAACTTCTCGACTCCTGGTCGTGGGATACAAAGAAAACTAAATCAAATTCAGATAAGGAACTAAATACACTAAAATAGCTTCACACCACCACTCAGATGGAACACAAACTTTCGTCAGATTGTTCACAGCCATTATCACTTTGAATCTGGATTCTCGGCCAGCCATTTCTGATAGCCACAGAGACGGTCTTTTTAATTAATTTTTTTTTTTCTAGAATTAACTCTTAATTATTAATGTGAAATCAATATTTATCATTGTGTTCAGCATTGTCCTTTTTATTTTGAATTTGTTTAAATTGGTCTATTCTGATAAAAGACGTTATGATCAAGAAGTCAATAATAGAAGCATAAAAAAATTAAAGGACGTTATGATCAAGAAGTCAATAAAAGTATTATACTTCTATTATAAAAGAGTAGTCAGCCTCTAGAACAGAGACTAGAGCCTTGATCCACATGCACCAGAGAAAGAAGGTTACCATTTTATAGCAGCAACAACTCCCACTAAATGAGAGCCTTCTACTTGGAGCACAACTGCAACATCTTCCAAATCCACGTGGCCTTCAGGCTTCAACGCCGCTCACCACCCCAGTTAGTTAAATCACATACACTGTCTCATGGGAAGGTCATGAATCATTAGAAATTCCTTTTTGCTCTTAGTAAAATAAAGGCTCTGTTCATTTCGCTGATTTGAGTTTAAAATTTGAGTTTTGCTACAGTAAAAAGCTCTCAGAAACAGTCATATCTAACTTTTTTGCTACAGTAAAAAGCTCTCACACAAAATCACATATCAACTCAAATTACAAACTCAAATTAGCGAAGTGAACGGACTGTGTATACTCTAAGATCTCGTTTATTTTACCGATTCGAGTTTTCAATTTCAGTTTTGTTACAGTAAAAAACTATCACAAAAAAGTCACATTTAATATTTTTACTACAGTTAAAAGTTCTCACATAAAGTCACATATCAGCTCAAGTTACGAATTGAACGATTCCTAAGGCCTCGTTCATTTCACCGATTTAAGTTTTTAATTTTAGGTTTTTACAGTAAAAAAACTTTCAGAAAATGTCACATTTAACTTTTTCTGCTACAGTGAAAAGCTCTCAAAAAATATCACATCTCAACTCGAATTAAAAACTCAAATCCGCGAAGTAAACGATTCCTAAGTCTATGCAACAATATTGTCTTTCAGAACCAAATGGCGCAGCGCAGGAGATGTCAACATCCTTACTGCAATACTGCATCTCTCAACAATTTCACAAGGTAAGTTTAGAGAGAGAGAGAGAGAGAGAGAGAGAGAGAGAACGTTCACGGTAATACAGAAGAACCTACCATAGCTCAGGGAAGGTAAACACATTGCTGATTAGACAATTCCAAGACAACAGAAAATGACACAAGGAACAGAATTAATTGCTAATAACTTGGTCTAAATCACTCTAGCAAATTTCTCGTCTCGAAATGAATAATTTCACAACACAAGGTCCTAAAGAATACCGTAATTATCAGCAACTTTCAATGAAGAAGAAATTCTAAAGAAGTTGTGGCATCAATTGGATCGTTGTCATTTAACTTTTTGCTCAAAGTTTCTGTCTTTCTATTGTCATGCGTCTCATTTTGAGGGTATTATGAAATGCCGTTGTAGTAGTATTAAGCAACAAAAGTTGTATGATCATCATCTAAAAATGGATTATAGTAACATATAATGAAACATACAGGCAACATTTCAGAAATTATCCTAATGAATTTTATTTTAGATAATAAAACTGGTGCGTTTCAGAAATATTTCGAATAAGAAGAAGAAATATGAAGCATTACAAAAAGATGTTCTATTCCATGACAGCAAAACTCTAAACAGAAAGGGATTTTGGTAAAACAAAACGCCCTAGACTACGCAAAACCGCACAATTTTCCAATCAATTTCTCCATTACCGGGGACGATCGGATCGAAATTCATTATTGTAATCGAATCTACCAAGAGGCCTTCTGGACGCCGTCGAGAAGCTTCTTGGAGGCGAGCTCGCGGAAGACGATGCGAGACATGCGGAAGAGGGTGACGATGCCGCGGGGGCGGCCGGTGAAGACGCAGCGGTTGCGGATGCGGGTGAAGGAGCTGTTGCGGGGGAGCTTCGAGAGCTTGATGCGGTTGGCCTCGCGGACGTCGTTTGGGAGAGTGGTGTCGTTGGCCAGAGCCTTGTAGAGCTTCCGTTGAAGCTCGAACTTCGCCGCCAGCTGCCTCCGGTGGTTGTCCCGGATGTTCGCGTTCTCCTTCCCCATTTCCATTACCTCCGACATCCTTTTCCTCCTGAAATTTGGATTTTCCTCACCCTTGCTTTTCTCTCTCTTATTTTTCTCTTCTCTGCAACCCCTCTCCTCTCTCTCTCTCGCACGTCCCCTTTGGGTTTTAGGTGATTTTGGTTCTGCGGCAGTCTATAAAATTACGAGGTTAAAATCCAAAAACTACCCATGATATTTAGTTTAATACTACATTTGCCCCTACATCATTTATTATCTGAGAAACACTCCTTTTTTTTTTTTCCTGAATTTGTCTAAAAGACATTCTTGTGTGTTTCCTTTTTATGAAGTTCGAAAACTATTTTTAAAAACCTGTGCCAAAATTATTACTTGAGTTTTCAAAAGGGCTTTAAAAAATAACACTTTAATTGGTTAAATTATTGAAAATACTATGCTGTAAAAGAAACAAAAGAAGCTCTCAGTGTTAGTGGGAAAATTGAAAAGAAAAATAAAATGTAAATTTGCAGAAGAAGGGACAATCGCATATGGCTCATGGGACTATAATCAAATGTTATAATGAGTATAAATATAATCACCAATTTAACATGCTTTCTTGCTCATTTTATTTGTTCACCAAACGAAGACGTAATATACTAAAGAGCTATGCTATAGGGTACGGGTGTACCATCATATAATAAAAAATGAGTCTCATAGTGTAGGACTCATTTTTTATTAAATAGCGGTATTTAACACCAGTAGTGTCTAAGCATTTTTCTAAACTAAAAGATAAATGACCAAAACAGAACCAAAAAAGCAGTACCAAAAAAAAACGCATAAAGCAGCAGACCATAGAGATACTTTCAAAACTATCAAAATGTATACCTTCAAACTTTTTAAAAGTACATATCCTATTAGTACTGCCCCATTCTAGACAAATCTTGATAAATTTAAACAAATTTTACAGAGCAATTCTATTTGGTTTGATAAGATACTTATAGGGTCTATGCGAGTCCCATCGAGTCAAAAAGAGTTTTCCAATTTTATATGTTCCCTCAGTTTTGCATGCTTTTCATCATGATTTTTGCTATAATATGATATGATGTAGGATGTTATAGTATAGATAATGGAAGGGCCCAAAACAGATGGTCATAGGATTTTGACAAAGCTTAGTCAGAAATGAACTGGAAGGAAGAATGCAAATACATCAAACTATGCTTTCAAGTTTCTTCTTTGCTATACATATGTTCAATTTTACGTTTAGGTCTTGCAAGTTCAGTGACATAGATAATCAAAACTATATTTTGGCAAGTCAGTTCAAATTATACAAGCAACAACAACCAGAGAGAGAGAGAGAGACGATTTTGTTCTCAGTGACAAAGCAAGAAATGTTTATGAGACAGGACTAATAACTACAACAAAATCTAGGGGGTATAAAATTGTATTTTCAATTTTTGAGAAGGGAAAGAAAGGAAAAAAAAAAAAGAAAAAAGAAAAAGGGTTGAGGAGCCTTCATTGGCCACTTGTTTGTTCTTGCTGTTATTTCAGGTCATATTATATGTTAACCAGGTCGATATGAGGAATTCAATATCATATGTGCAAGGCTTCCATGACATACGAGAATGAGGGGCGTCGATATGGTTCCCAGCTTAACCCTACATCAGATCAGCATCATCAACCATGATCATTAGAGATATGGAAAGATATATACTACATATACAAGTAATAAACAAAATTGTAAGAGAATTTTTTGAATCTTCTTACTTGGCCCAGCGGCTACTAGAGGATTTGCATTGGGTGGAATCTCAAGCCTCTTGTTGTTGAATCCAACTGCCGCTACAACCTGCAAAATGTTGCTGCATCACACTTTATACACTAAGAAGTTCATAACTAGTAAGCCAGAAATTGAGGTCCATATTCATAATCATAATTCAAATGTATCTATGGACTTTGCATAGTATCGTTCCTCGGAACGAAAAGGAACGAGAAAGGGATCGAGAACATAGTACAGACTGATACGAAATACGCAACAAGTAACATGTGCAATAACTAATACCACGTATTAACATGGAGAAGTTGGTGAACGAGAAAAGCTCAAAAGGGATGATGAAATAGGAGCAAAAGAACGTGAAGAAAGTGATAAAGTAGCTATAGACGGCTATTCATTTGCTCATGTTGTTTCGCCAATACCATGTTACGGATAAAACGCCCTATTATATATATATATATATACACACACACACATACTAACAAGAGCAATCTACGAAAGAAAGAAAGGCGAGAAGAAATACACAATATTCATGTCATGCGCAAGCATGTCAGAAACCGCTTCAGATAGAGCCATACAGGATTTTATTTGTTTTACTCAATTATTCAACTCCTGCAATTTCCGTACCAAACTAATGTGATTGAATCATACTTTCAGAAGTAGTAAACAAAATTATCATTACTTATTTGAATCCACAACAAACTCTATATCAACCCACAAACTAGACTAGATTGGTATCCGAAAATAAAGGATACTGCAGACACATCCAAAACTTTTGACAAATAAAAATAGCAGTGTGTTCTAGTAGCAGCAAAAGTTTCAAGAAATAGTGTAAAGGGTTATTCTACTAGCTGCAAATTCATGCAATCATGGACAAAGTATAAGAGCACATGCATGATAAGACAAGGGAATCACCTGAAGAAACATCATCAAATGCAAGAGCAAGTGATTGGCAGTCAAAGAAATAAAGTTTAGCCTGTGTCTGAAAGTCCAGTAGTCTTGACCGATATAAATTTTGGATGGCATAGTGGGGAAGAAACTACTGTGGACAATGCACTATTAAGGGAAGAGTCGGGCTGGTTTAATACTCCTTGCATCCAGAGCAAATCAACCATATTCCCTGCGAAGAAATACGGAGAGCGAATTTCACTTTTCTTCTTAAACAAAGGTACTTGATGTTGTTTGTCATTCTTGTAATTCATGCAAGTCATGTATATAAAACTATTAAAGTTATTTTTAACAAGGTAATAAACGAGGCTAAACTGCTTTCTGTGCGGCCAACACTTATGAAGCCTGTCATATTATCATCTTTTCCAACCCTTTTCAACCTGATATGCCCATATGCCCTTACTTGAAATAGCCTTTCCCTAGCATCTAAGGTAGAACATAATTGTCCTTAGTTGGATAAATCACATAAATAAGTTTTATGAGTATGTCATGAATTATTAAAAATTCTTCTCTCTTTTAGTTAAATAAAATGTATAGTCAACGCAACATACTTCAGAATCAAATTGCACAAGGCAAGAGGCACCAACAACGCTACTGCAATATTAGCATCCCTTAATGATACGACAAGGTAAGTGTCTGCCAAAATCTACAAAAGAATTCGGAATAAACACTCGGGGCATACCTAAGAGCCTAACATAGTGCTTGGTGCTTAACATATTGCTGATTAGACAGTCATTCAAAGGAACAGAATAAATTGCTTAGTGCTTGGTGTAAATCATGAAAGAAAAATAAAAATGACAGAAGTCACAGAACGAGAAGGAATCTAACTATATTCCGAATATTACTCTGGCTCCCGGAGGGTCTTTGGATAAGATCTTCCTCTACCACCCGAAGATCACAACAAGACTTCAAATTTTCTTTATCGAATCCATGAATGCTCCTGAAATAACCCCTCGCAGCTTACTAATGAAAGAATAATCAGAGTCGCTTATTGAAGGTGTACGGGGTGTTGCCATGGCAATAAGAACAAAATTTTCTCCATTTCCCACATCTATTTCGTACAACTCACTGAAAATCTCTCGAAAATCATGCTTCATTGTCTCATAAATGGCGCTATTCCGAGGAACAACATTGATAGCCAGGATTCCCTTATCAAAGAGAATCGATCTAGCAGCCAAAAGGACACGCTTCCTTCTAAACGCCAACGGTGGAGCGCACACACCATTTTCGGCATCACACGAATCTAAATCAACCATGATAACATCAAATTCACCACCAACACCATCCATGTCAAAACCATTCAAAGAACTTGCATTCTCCCCACGAGCACAAAGAGCAACTTTCTCAACAAACTCCATCGCATCCCCAACAAAAACTTTGAGAAATTCACATTCTTCCAATCCGAAAAACTCTCTACCAACCTTCAAAACCTCCTCATCCTCTTCCACACCCAATACCTCAAAACCCAGTTGGGTTCTGAGAAATGCAAGCAAAGCCCCACCACCAACTCCTAAACACAAAGCTCTTGGCATAAACCCACCACAAAACCTTTCCTCAATATGACCACTAATTAGCCCAAGGCTTGCCACCATTGGAGACAAGTAAGGATGTACTAAAACCCCAACATCAGGCCTAAACAACTCAACTTCACCAATTCCCCCACAATCTGATCCAAAACCCATCTTGGGAACAATGCGTACTTCAGTTTGGACCAAATTGGGCATTCTCTTAAACCTCAATCGCCTCCTAAATTCCCTTTCTGAGCACTTTTTATTTTCAATCTCCACATCTTCAACCAACATTTCACCAACCAAAGACCCAACAAAAGTTCCCAAAACCACACTAGAAATCACATTATCCTCGTAACTCAAAATGGGAATCTCGGGAATTCCGTGTTCGAAGCAGGACTTAGGCGACAAAGCGAGAAAAAGGGGGTTCAAGCTAACCTCGAGGTCGTTCCGGTACGACATGTCGTTTTCCACCGGATGACGACGGTAAATCTCCATCGAAGGGCGGGAATCTCCTCCGGGCTGATTGCCGGCGAGGATTAGGCGGGAGATTCTGGGGGAGTTGAGGAGGAGCTGGAGGTGGCCGGATTCGGTGGAGAAGATCCAGTCGGACTCGCGGCGGTCGGGGACGAACATGGCGGCCACTCGAGGCGGATCGGCCGGTCGACCTGGCGAGTCGAGGACGGCAATTCGGAGGCGGGAGGTGGGATTTTGGGGGTTGGGGAAGGTGAAGGCGATGAATCGAGATGGGTTTATGGTCTCGAACGTGGCTTTGTTCAGCGCCATTGCTTAGTTTCAGGCTTCAGAAGTTTCGAATTTCTGTTAACGTTCTTCTAGAAGTTTCCAATGGATTTATGGTCGCGAACTTTGAGATGACCTCCGACCAAGTTCGCACTTCATCAGCTTCTTTTTTTCTTCATTTGTTCATTATTTTTTACTACTATTTTTTTTTCTTTTTTCTTTTTCTTTTTTCTTTTTTCTTTTTTCCTCAAAGGCTCTCTGATTCAAGTAGTTGGTAATAAAGCTCTATTACGTCCTATTCTGTTATTTTGGGTTTATAAATCATTTTTTTTATTTCTAATAAATAAGTCAATCTTAAAGATAGAACTTGATTTCTAACCATTAATATAGTTAAAATCACATCAAAATAAAAAATATGAAAAAATAAAAAGTATAGAGAACGTATAATTTTTAATACAAACCTGCGACGAAAAAAAATAAACTAACGTTAGTTCAGAAACTCCCTTAAAATAAAATAATATATTCCTACAGTTTTGCTTTTCATTCTGTTACGTTATGATTTTTGCTATTATATGATGCTCAGAACACAGTACCGGTATGATGTCCTATCATAGGACCCAAAAGAGAGGTCATAGAATTTGACAAAAGCTAAGCCAGAAACGAACTCAAAGAGAACGCGAAGACATCAAACTATGCTTTCAAGTAGTTTCATTGCTACATACACGTTTAGGTTTTGCAAGTCAAGTGACATAATTGACAACTATTTTTTTGGTAAGTTAGTTCAAACTATACAAACATAAATAAATAAAGCTTATAAACCAACTGTTCTTGGTGGCGCTGACAAGTCAAATTGTATGTTGTTGGGGACGGTGTTGACGCCGTAGTTGAGGAGGAGCCTCGGGAGTCAGCAGCAGAGCAGGGGGAGGGGCCCATGGAACTTTCCATGAATTCCATAGTTGGGATTCCATCGGTGAACACAATGCAGGTGAAAGATACAAACTTCCTCAACAAGTTTATTCAGCAAACCAATCCACGTCAGCACTAATCACTGACGTTTATTCCTCCTACTATAGACCATCAGCCTCTGGTTCTTATCATATGTTAACCGGGTCGGTCAATGTGTGGAATTAAATATCAAATGCTGCAAGACTTCCATGACATATGCAAACGAGGGTCGTCGATATGGTTCCCTGCAGCGGTTAACCGCACATCAGATCAGTATCACCAACCATCGCCATTAGAGACAGAGAAAGGTATATACAATATATGTGTGAAGTAATTACACTAAATTGCAAAAGAAGTTCTAGGATCTTTTTACTTGGCCCAGCAGATCTCAATTAAAGCGGCTACTTGAGGATTTACATGGGGGGGAATTTCAAGCCTCCTGTTGTTGAAACCAACTGCTGCTACAACCTGCGAAGTATTTTGATGCATCTTATTTCACATTTCACGAACTAAGAAGTTCAAAATTAGTAAGCCAGAAATTCAGGCCCATAATAATCATAACTCGAATTATGTATGGACTTCGCATAGTACCAATCCTTGAACAAAATGGAAAGAAAAAGGGATAGAGAACATAGTACAGACTGATATGAAATACAAAACAAGTAACATGCACAATAACTTATATCCAGAATTAACGTGGAGAGGTTAGTAAAAGAGAGAAGCTCAAAAGGGATGATGAAATGAGAGCAAAATAACATGACAGCAACTCCTTCAACAAATAGAGAAGGTTGTCCCTCTACTCCATAGTCCATTCCTTTAGTCAGGAATGGCGGGATAAAGCACATATAATATTTATAGTGGTTCACCCTTAATACAAGAATCATCCACTTTCAGCTGCCACGGTTTTTTTCACTATGAGGAAGAAATAGTTTACAAGGGAATAAGTGTAATTAGCACAACCGTAAGACGTGTGAAAATCACAATATACAGGTCGAACAGCGAGCTAACTCTGTGCGAGGACAATAGTTAGGCTCCACAGAGCCAACATAACAATTACCAAGCATTCGCCTAAAATTGTTATTCATCCTTTCCAACTCAATCCTCCTATTCTCCGAAATTCGAAAAAGCAACCACCTTGGATGATAAGAAGACAATTGACGAGGGTATATTATCTACTGCAAGCAAAGTTAGGAGAAGGGAGAAGCCCGAACCATCACAATTCGAGGAGTTGTGTAAAAATCAAGTTCACAAGTAAAATAAAGTTGTCTCAGCAACCTTATAATGATCGCTTAAACAAAACAAAAAAACAAAAAACAACCTGTGCCGCACTTAAATTGCACCATGGCTGCCGCAGGGTCATCAGTTCCCACAGGATCACACCGAAGCTATAAACATCAGATTTCTCATTCGATGGCTCATCAAGGAGAACTTCAGGTGCCATCCACTCGGGCTATTGAAAATAAACATGAGAGGAGAAGAGTTTAGAATCTTAATGCACAAATGCATGCTTTCAACGCAAATAGGTTGATGAAACTCACTGTGCCTGCGGCAGTTTTGGAGGAAAGAAATGTGTTCACCTTTGAGCGGGAAAGGCCAAAATCACACACCTGAGCAATCACATACATCATTATTGTCTTTGAAAATGGCTAACACAATGAATTCTCTAAGTTGCTTTGCCTTGACATTATGCAGCTCAAGAAAAGATATGAAGGAGAAAACGCTCTTTCAAAGTCTTAAACAGGGACTATCATATAAATCTCTCATAACAAAGTTCTCTTTTTCCATACTTACTTTTACTGTATATGTACTGTCAACTAAAAGATTTGGTGACTTCAGATCTCGATGGACTATGGGAGGTTTAAGTTGATGAAGATAATTCATCCCATTTGCCTGTACAAATCAATAATAAATCTGAGTTCCAAAAGAACTTACAATATCATGACAAAGATCTTTCACCAAGTCTTTTGCATATAGAGATATAGATAGAGACAAAATATATATATCAATCTAACTATACCGAGACAATACCACGTCATAAGCCATATTCAACCGGAGCCTTTCATCTAGTATGACTGCAGCATCAGGCATCCGTAGAACTTTATACAAGCAGCCGCTGCAATTAAAAATAATAATAATAAGAACAGCGCTTAGTGCATAAAAAACTAAAGCAAGGAGCAAAGAGCAATATATTGAAAATTATGGAACATGTATAAAATAAAATAAAAACAATTCACGAGAGATCGCATTGGACAATCTTGTTACTTTGATAAGTATTCTGTAACTATGGACAAGTTTGGGGGCTGAATAATAGCACCAAGAAAGCTAACAATGTTAGGATGCTGCAACCGTTTCATTATATTGACCTACAACCATAACAAACACCAAAAAAAGTATGTGTTTGTTTAATCAAATAGAAATAAAATTAAAAATAAAGTACAAAGTACACCATCATTTATACTTAAACAATTTATTCTTTTCCTTTTTTTTTTAATTTACATAAAGCCCAAAGTAAACAAAGTATACCTCCTTAAGAAATTCTCTGAAGTTACTTGCATGAAAATCTTGTTCCTTGAGAATTTTGACAGCAACATCCTAAGATTATTAGAATATTCGATTTCAGAAGCTGCTGGGGACACTTCCACTGAGATTGAATGCCAAACAACGGAATGCAGAATGGTACAACCAAAGGCATGGTAAGAAATTTTACACACATAATTATGAGACAATAACCTTTAAAACGGAGCAAAGAGAGCAGTCTATTGGTAACTCTATCAAATCCACCCCAAAAGTGGATACTCAATTAAGATCACAATCAAATTATAAAATGTAAGGAAAAAAAAAAATAAGTCCAGCACGCAAATATCTGACATCAGATGCAGGTTAATTGTTTGGTTTAATAATTTGTATTTTTATCACAAAAGAACAAAGTCACTCTAAGTGATATATATGATTTAGAACAAAAAGGAACTTCAAGAGCAACAAGATATAGCAAAATAATATATCAAAAGTAAAGAAAGAATACTTACAGAACCACACCACTTAGCATGATAGACAGTTCCAAAAGAGCCTGAAAAGCATTTATGATCTCAGATTTTTTTTTTTTTTTTTTTTTTAAGATAAAAACCATAGCATGAAGAGAAACGTGATTTAAAACAATGACAAATACCTGATCCAATTTTCTTCATTAAAACAAGTTCATTCCATTGGATGTTTGAATCCTCCTCAGTGTCCTTACCAAGATAGAATTCGCGACTTGATGTATCATGCACGTGATTAGAGAAAACAGGGGGAGCATCTCTATTATAAGACGGTCGGATGTGACGTGGCTGAATAAAATCTTGGACCAAGAATGTCGAGTCCATAATATTTGGAAATGGATCAGAAAAGACTAGCCTCTGATGATCCCTAGAATTGGTGGCATTCCAAGCAGATCTTTGGAGCAAAGGTGATGCAGATGATTTATGCTTGTTAAAAGAAGAGGGCACAGCATTGTTCCTTCTAAAGTAATTCATATTAAAGCCTTCAGTTATCCTTGGACCTTCCTTCTCATCTGTATTTTTAGCAGTACCTATATCATAATGATCAACATAATGTTCTCACAAGTAATTACAGTAACTGTAAGAGCATGTTTGTTATTTTATTACTATCATAGATCTATCAAGACTATTTTTGACTTATAACATATTTTCCTCATTGAAGAAGTAGTAAACAAAATTATCACTATTAATTTTATTCCACAGCAAACTCCAACAGAGGGTTCGCAACTAGATTCGCATCCGAAAGTAAATGATTCTGCAGACATCCAAAACTTTTGACAAAATAATGATGTGTTTGTATTAGTCCAAGTCTCAAGTAACAGTGGAAATGGATATCCTATTAGATGCAATCATAGGCAAAGTGTAAGAGCATATGCATGATAAGACAAGGGAATCACCTGAAGAAACGTCATCAAATGCATGAGCAAGTGATTGGCAGTCAAAGAAATAAAGTCTAGCCAGTGTCTGAAAGTCCAGCATGGTCTTGACCGATTTAAATTTTGGATGACATAGTGGGGATGAAACTAGTGTAGACAATGCACTGTTAAGTGAAGAGTCAGGCTGGCTTAATACTCCTGGCATCTGGAGCAAGTCAACCAAATATTCCCTGGAAGAAATACACAGAATAAGTTTCACTTTTGTTCTTAAACAAAGACACTCGATGCGTGTAATCCATGTAAGTCATGTAAATACTTTTAAAGTTATTTTTAACAAGGTAATAAACGGAGTTAAACTGCTTTCTATGCAGCCAACAATTATGAAGCCTGTCATTTTATAATCTTTTCCAACCTTTTTCAACCCAATATGCCCTTACTAGAAATACTAACCATATCATGTGGAACAAATAATCATCCTTAGTTGGGAAAATCACATAAATAAGTTTTTATGAGTATGTCATGAATCATTAGAAATGTCATGAATCATTAGAAATGTCATGAATCATTAGAAATTCTTTTCTCTTTTGGTAAAACGAAATGTACAGTCAACGCAACATACTTTTCAGAACCGAATTGTACAAGGCAGGAGGCACCAGCATCGCTACTACAATATTTGCATCCCTTGACGATTCGGCAAGGTAAGTTAACTATGTCTGCCAAAATCTACAAAATAATTCAGAATAAGCACTCAGGATAATACATAAGATCCTAACATAGCACAGGGAAGGTAAACATATTGCTAATCAGACAATTGTTCAACAGAGCATAATAAATTGCTTAGTCTTAGTGAAAATCATTTAAGAAAAATAAAAATGACAGAAAAAGTGGGAATCTAGCTACAATAACGTGGCAACTGACAAAATACAAATTTATGCACATGAGACTAAAGTTGTGAGAATTACTTTAAATAGTAAAGCACGATGGACACAGAGTCCGGTAGACAAGTACCCAATTGGAATTACAATGGAGCCTATGCAGTCTCTCAGAGCCTTAGTGCAGTCATTCCACTGTGTAGCCAACTCCTCTTCCGTGGAAGCCTCACCCCTTGAGATAACAGTAAATGCTCATTAGAAGAAACGACGAATCATGAGCATTAACAAGAAATCATTCAAGATCAAAAGTTACTATGAAAAGGAACTATAGAATTCACCCCATTTGAGTGCAGACAAGAGTTGCGAGCTGTTGAATCACATCTACTGTGGTGAGCCAACTACTAGAAAGACAAAGGACCCAATGTTGTAGCTCCTTTAAACCCGGATCTCTCAATTTATCTATCAGAACCACATTAACAGACGAATCATTATGAGGGTCAATGTCCTTCAGTGATTCCAAAGACGGAACTCGGCCAGAGGAACCCTGGTCAGTGCTTATATTCCATGCGTACGGGTCCATTCCATGGATGAGGTAAAACCCATCAGGAATTTTGTCAGAGTAAGACAAACAGCCATTCACCTGGTGCAAATGTAGAGATATGACAAATCACAAAGCAAACTAGATCACACACAGTAAAAACAATACTGGCTTGAGAACCATGATGGTGTCAATTGTCATCTTCTTCACTTTCCTATGTTTTGTACACAACCGATTGTTGACTTTTGAGAAACTCCAAAACTAAAGAAACCCCGTAAAAGAAAACTGATCTCTAATTAGTGCTTATAAATCCATGGCAACGGGTTAATTCCATGGATGCGGTAAAACTTATCATGAGTTACGGCAGAATAAAATAAACAGCCATTCACCTGCTGAATTGCACAAATATGGTAAAATTCTCGGAGCAAGAAAGACAACCTAAACTGAATACAAAACTGGCTTATGAAATTATAATTGTGCATAATCTTCTTTGTTTCCCTATATTTTCCACAGAACCAACTATTGCTTTTTGTTAAATCCCACAACTGAAAGAAGATCAACAAAACAGAAATGATCACAGACAGATGATCAGTGCTTATATTCCGTGCATAAGGCTTCATTTCATGGTAAGATAAGCACGCACTCACAAAGTAAAATAAACACCCATTCACCTAGTAAGATATGACAAAATCACAAAGCAAACTAAACCACCTAAAGTGAACATAATACAGCTACAATTCCTGTGCCATGCATAGAAGCCCATTTCATGGATTAAGTAAAAGAAAACCCATCACAAATTTGTCAAAAAACAAATCACAAAGCAAAAACAGACAACAAAAGGTGAACTAGAGAAAACCCATAAGACAAAATAACTGATTTCTTTTTAATTATTGTTGGGTATTCCTTGAAAAACAAAAGATTACCCAGAAACGATGAGAGATGGATTGAGCAGAAGCGGAGGTTGAAATCGAATCATGGGATTTGATTTTGAAGTCCAAGAAATTGGGATCGTCAGCAGAAGCAGCCTGAGAGGAAAGCCTCAGAGCCAAAGCCAGCTGCAGCTGATAGCTCTCCTGGGCCTGCAACGGCCAGCTCTTAAACGACGCCGTTTCGCTGCAATCGCCGCCGCCATGCACGGCGAGGCCAGTACTCCCTGACGCCATGGGAGAACGTCAGAGCTCAAGAACTGGGTGTCGTTTTGCTTCTTTTTTTTTTTTTTTGGTTGCTACATGATTTTGTTATTTGGGGAAAGAAAAGTAGAAGAAATTAAAGTATTTTATAATAATATTTTAATACAAATAATAATATGATAAATAATAATAAATGTTAAAATTATTATTTTATATTTCATTTTTTTATTAAATTTTTTCTCTATTTTTTCTTTTCTCGGAAGGATTAAAAATTGATTAGTCTGATATTTATTTTCATTCTTTTCTCATTTTTTCTTTACAAAATAATTTATGGTGTGTTTAAAACTCATTTTAAAATAATTTTATTTTTTTTATGAAAACGTTTTCAATCTCAGACATAAATTATTTTTAAAAATACATTTAGTACTTTTATTAAGAGATTATTTTTAGTATAAAAAAACTAATTAATATCTCTCTTTCTCTCTCTGCTCGAGAGATAAGAAAACGAAAACAAAAAATAAAAAACGACAAGTCATTTTTTATTTCTTTCTCATTTTATACTAAATTAAAAAATTATTTTTATTTCTGTTTTTTATCTTTATTACATCAAACGTCGTTATAAAAATATTTTTATTTTTTTCTTAAAAAATGTGAAAATAAAAATAAGATCCATTCTAAATACGACTTTAAAATTCTATTTTCTTTATAAAATTCTTCCTCTATTATTTTTTATTCTCTTTTATACCCTACCAAACACATTGTCAAGCTCAATTACTGGGATTTCGAAGAATTTTTTCCAAACTGTCAGTTTACAATTACGGAACAAACTTTTTAGTGGTGGCAGAGAAATGGGCTTTTTCAGTCAATAGCCTCTGAATAGAACGCCATGTATACTTAGGAGACGTTTGGTTCATGGATTAGAATCATGTGATTAAAATTATTTTCGATTTACGTATATTTTTTGTGAGAGAAAACACTGTAGCGAACCATGAACCATGATTCAAATCATGGTTTGAATCCTCCAACCAAACATCCCCTTAAAGTTAAACCCGTTCAATTCGGTGATTGGGGCTGTTCTTTTATCGCTTTTGAGTTAGATGATTTGAGTGTAGATTTTGAATTGAGTTTGAGTTATAACTTGAGTTGAAGTTGTAACTTGAGGCCTTGTTCACTTTGCGGATTTGAGTTTTCAATTCGAGCTGAGATGTGACATTTTCTGAGAGCTTTTCACTGTAGCAGAAAAAGTTAGATATGACATTTTCTGAGAGCTTTTTACTATAAAAATCTAAAACTAAAAACTTGAATCGGTGAAATGAACGAGGCCTCAAGTTTTTTAAACGGTTGTGTACATTTGAGTTATGGTTTGAAATAAGAATTTTTTTGAGTTTGTGTTTGAGGCCTCGTTCACTTCGGGGATTCGAGTTTTTAATTCGAGCTTAGATGTGACATTTTTTTAGAGCTTTTCACTGTAGCAGAAAAAGTTGATGTGACATTTTCTGAGAGTTTTTTACTGTAAAAATCTAAAACTGAAAACTCGAATCGGTGAAATGAACGAGGCCTGAGTGAGTCAAAACTTAAATTTGTATTTAGATAGTATTTTAATAAAAACTCAATGCTGATGAAAAATTTTAATATAGTATATGGGTGGAGTTTTATTCGTCTTTTCGTTGTCAACGCATAGAAAAAAAACCATCTCAATCAGAATTAAAACGAAAAAGTTATAGCATTTTTAAGAATAGAAAAAATATTGTTCATTAATTTGAGTTCGAGTTTCTGAACTTGAGTTGAAGGGGAAATTTAAACTCAAGTTTTAGTCCCAAACTTGAGTTGAAATTCGAATTCAAACTTAAAAGAATATGAACTCGAATAAAGTTGTAACTCGAGTTGCTTTTTTTGAGTTTTTAACTCAAAAATAGGGCTGCCGAACAATCCCTTAAATTTTTAATTTGAGTTGAGATGTGATCTTATATGAAAATTGTTTATTGTAGTAAAAAAAATTAAATATAATTATTTTTAAGAGCTTTTTACTGTAACAAAACTTGAATTCTAAACTCGAATCGGTGAAATAAACGGGACCTTAAGCTCCTTTCATTTCAACGACCGTTCATTTTACTGATTTGAGTTTAGAATTTGATTTTTATTACAATAAAAAGTTGTAAAAAACAGTCATATTTAATTTTTTTACTATAATAAAAAGATCTCACATAAAGTCACATCTCAACTCGAATTAAAAATTTGAATCATCGAATTAAACAAACCTCATGTTATCCTTGTTTGAAATAAAATTAAAAAAAACAAAAAATAAAACTAAGATCTCGTTCATTTCACCGATTTAAATTTTAAATTTTAAGTTTTTATAGTTAAAAGTTCTTAAAAAATATCACATTTAATTTTTTATAATATTGTTAAAAATTTTTAAAAAATATTATATCTTAGCTCAAATTAAAAATTTAAATCCGCGAAAACCCAAACTTTCAGATATTATTATTAAAAATAAAAGAAAATAAAATAAAAAACCCAAGCCCCCTTATTTTCCTCTTCCCCTTCTCTCTCTTCTTCTTCAAAAACATCCGCCACCCAAAACCTCGGCGGCCGCTCCACGTTCGATCAGCACCACTCACCTCCGATCGACGCCCCTCCCCCAACCCACCCGCACCTGCGTTCAACGCGGCTCCCCCAACCCCCACCTCCGATTTAGGCCACAAGCACCGGACTGCCCTTTTGTCCTTTCGGACCGCCGCTCTCTCCTCCTTTCGGACCGTCGCTTTCTCCTCTTCCGGAACGTCGTAGTCTCTCTTCCTCCAGACCGCCCCCATTTCCTCCTCGTAATTGCAATGGCACAAAGCCAAACCTCCAAGTCGGGAAACGACTCCGAAGGAATAACCGGGACGCCGCCCTAACCGGTCGGCGGCAACAATTAGCCACCATCACAACCGACGGCCACCACTCCTAGCACGGCGGAGACACTACAATCACGGGACGTGGAACCATCGGTAAATTTAGTTAGTTGATCACTTTGAGAATGTGTATATTTATAATTTGAATTGGTATATGAATAGAAGGAAAGCTATGGAAAAGTTCAGTTTAGAAGCTTATTATGAAATACGCATAGTCTGAACTTTGAACTAATTTCCTTAATGTTAGAATATATGTGTAGAATTTGCTCTTGGTCCATTGCCTTTCTTTTTGTCGTCCTTTTGCTCACTGTAATGTTTTTTTTTTTTTTTGAATAAATGAAAAAAATTTGAAATGAGAGTTGTGTGTAATTCATCCTTTTCTTGGGATTCAAGAGTTGTTCTTTTACAATGAAATTCAGACAAAATTTGAACTCGAGTTACAACTTTATTTAAGTTCATGTTCTTTTGTAAAATTTAAATTTGAACTCGAGTTTAAACTCGAATTTAAACTTGAGTTTGAGGCTAAACTCGAGTTTGAACTTGAGTTTGTGGCTAAATTCGAGTTTAAGGGCTTGTTCTTTTCGAGTTTAACTTGAGTATAATTTTTGAGTTGAATTTGAATTATAACTTGAGTTGAACTTGTAACTTGAGTTTGTGTTTGGTTGTGTACATTTGAGTTATAGTTTGAGTCTTTGAGATAAGAATCTTTTTGAATTTGTGTTTGAGTGAGTCAAAACTTGAATTTGTATTTAAGATAGTATTTTAATAAAAACTCAATGTTAATGAAAAATTGTAATATGGTATATGGGTTGGGTTTTATTCGTCTTTTCGTTGTCAACGCATAGAAACAAAAATCATCTCAATCAGAATTAAAACGAAAAAGTTATAGCATTTTTAAGAATAGAAAAAACACTGTTCATTAAGTTAAGTTCGAGTTTCTGAACTCGAGTTGAAGGAGAAACTTGAACTCGAGTTTTAGTCCTAAACTCGAGTTTGAACTCGAGTTTAAACTTAAAAGAACATGAACTCGAATAAAGTTGGGGCTGTTCGGTTGCTATAACTCACTCAAGAAAAGCCCACTCGAGTGATGATTTTGGCCCAAAACGCGTTCGACGCAGCTATTTCTCGAAACCAAACTCGAACATTAATTCGAGTTACCTACCCTTTCTTGAGTTCATCTCCATCCCTGCAACTCGAGTTAACTTCTCTGCACTCCTACAGTGGTACAGTGCTCGAAATTTCTCCTTTTTTGTTTCTTTTGTTTCGATTCTCTCATAGCCCGATCCTGTTCAATTTCCTTGAGAAAGAAAGAGAAATTTGAAAAAAATGTCAAGAGTCGCAGAATTCCCAGTCACGGCACGAGCCCACTTGGCCGTGCTCTCGGCTCACCTCGCCAGCGCATCGCTCGAGCCGACCGAGCTCTTCGGCTCCGCCGCTCTCGAGCTGAACTGCGTCTCGGCTCAGACCTTCGACCCGCCACCGCCGAACCTTAAGGGCTCCTTGACCATAGTCGACGAGCGGACGAGTCGGAGTTACCAGGTCCAGGCCTCCGACGAAGGCACCGTCAAAGCCACCGATCTCAAGAAGGTTTTATTTTTCTGCCATAACCGACCAAATTCAACAGATTTTTTTCTTTTTTCTGAAAAAAACTCTGATCTTTGGTGTTTTATGTGGAATTGAAGAATCGCGTTTGTGAGTTTTGTAGATAACGACGAGAAGGAATGAGAAGGTATGAATATGAATTAGATGGACAAATGGATTGTGCCCGGAAGAGGGAAGATTTTTTGGGCTTTTTTTTTCTCTTTTTCAATTTTACCTTCCAATAAGGTGGAATTGTATTGAAGATCTTATTGTGCATTTGAGAAGAAGACATGTGATGTTTTTGTTCTGGATTTTGGTATTTTGCTGAGCTATGGTGCATTTGAGAGGACGAGGGATGAGCAAAGAGAGCGTGAAGAAGGGTTGGGGGCTAAGGATTTATGTATTTTTTAAAATTACCATATTACCCAATAATTATTTACAAATAATTCCAATTATTCATATTCAATTATAAAAAATATAATAAATTCAAAAAATAAAAAAATTGTAAATGAATTGAATAAAATTAAAAAAAAAAATGATATCCATTGTTCACAACTCAAGTTTTACCATAAATAAACATAAACTCAAAAAGATTCTTATCTCAAATCATA